TTTTTGGATACTTCATCTTCTTCCACCAAAAAAAAAAAAATCTTCTTTTATTTCTTCATCAATTCATCTGGTATTACATGTTAAAACCAACTTAGTACAACATTTTATAGACCTAATTCATGAGCAAACAGTTTATCAAGCGTAACTGTAATCCCAATCACCGATAAAGCGACGTTACAGTATAATACAGTTCTCGAAAATGGTTTGTTCTTTTCTCAGTCGACGATTAGTGCTTACATCTGAATGGAAAATCTTCTCTGAATTGCCAAATTTTAGAAGGATTAACTGCAATTTCCCGACAGCAACTTCAAAATATTATAACTACATTCAGAAGACAAAATGTAAATTTTAGATGACAGTTTGAGAATCTGCCAACTGCTTTTCTGATAACGCTAAACAGCACCTCTAACTTGATCCAGGATCTGGTGTTGTTTAAGTTGCAAATGCACGACCAATGTATAAAACAAGTGATAATCAGGAGGAAAAAGATCCACCTAAATACACTAAGCAACAGAATTTCTGTGTTCTATATTGATCAGTTACCACCTAATCTTCTTCATAGGATCCAGATCCGATTTGATAGCTCTTTTACTAATACTATCTATTTCCTAATCACCACTAATCAGCCAATGCTCTTAAAGCGCATTATTTGCAGAATTTGAAAGCACGACTCTACTCTCGTTTTTTGCTTCCTTATTACGAAGATATGGTAGACTATCTTCTACGAGTTCGCTAAGTCATTAACAACTTCTTAAAATTTTTAACTAGACTTTAAATCTGCTAAAAACATTTACAGTTTTACTGCTCCATAAGTAATTACTTCCACGACTTATTCCAGTAGCGACTCCCTTTGTACCGTTATTGAAAAAGACCGTATTTTTCAGCAATTTACATACACCAAACCAACTTCCAGAAACTTTTATTTCATTTGTTTGCAAAAAGAATTTGTGCTTTGGCTTGACCTATTATTAAATGTCCCATTCAAACTCCCCATGTTACTCAGCGTCTATTTTCATCTACAACATCAACGATCGCCTTCTATCAAAACAGCTCATGCGTCCTGAAGTGCTCGCAGCGCTAAATTTATGCCACGAGTTCTTTCAGCTATTTAAAATAACACACTACATTATAAAAAAAGCCTAAATGGTCATTTTATATATTGAAAACCACTCAGAGCAATAAAAGTTAAAACCACAACTAACTGCACTTAACATTTACGTTACCTAAAACTACAGAAAATTTGCAAACTTGAGAGCATTACGTCTTTTCACAACGGCCTGATGAAAACAAACCAACTATCGTACTGCTAAGTTTACCTTTGAGAAAACTCATAAGGTATTATAATTTCCTTTGAAAAAAATTTTTAAAGTTTTTCTCTTGTAGGTTCAATATAATAATTTTGGTTTAATTGCTTCAAAAAAATGCAAAAAAGCAAAAAATGATTACACATTACTTTAATAAAAACCTCAGTAAGCAGTTCCAGTTAAATCAGTTGGACGCACTATTTGAGAATGAGATCACGTAATTTATTCCACATTTCAGTTGGAGATGACAAACGTAACTTAAGCATTATTCAATTCACACATCAAAAATTACTATCCAGATACCAGCCAATTCAGCGTTATCGTCATAACCGTCGCAAAAAAATACAGATGAGTTCACAGAACGAAAACAAAGTATACCTGCATCCAGCTTATTAAGAACACTTGGAACAGAGTGTTAATGAATTTTCTTGCCAATTATAGGAAACATCAGTATATAAGAAAAATTGAAGCGAATAACGAAGGAAGAAATGAGTAAACAGAATTCGCTTGCACCTAAGACTGCTTTGAATTAAACAGCAATATACCCTCTTAAAATTTTAACCTAAACTAAAGCAAAATACTGCCACTTAGTTAGCCCAAACCAACTTACGTAACAGTCTTTGGTCTTAATTGATCTCTCTATTACTAATGGTAACTCTGTTCTACAGATCCAGGTCTGAGAACCTCTCACCAGAAAAGTGAAGTGACAAAATGTGAACTAAATAGGCTTCTTCAGTTTGTTGAAATAATAACATAAGTGAAAAGCGGAGGAGGAATCTACAAGTAAACAGATGAATTTCCAGCATTTCCCCTTTTAAGACAGAGAAAAAAGTGTTCATTACACAACTAATGCCCTACATAATCGTTTACGAAATAGTAAGCCCATAAAATAGCTCAAAACTCTTCAGTAACAATGGTACATCAATAATTCATTAAACTAATAAAAATAGTTTGGTCTTGCTCAGTATACCTCCGGTTAAAGTGTTTCAACGTAAGTTATCGAAATCAGGACAAAAGATTGTTAAGCAACTAGGATTGCTCTTAAAATCTATTACTGACCAGCTTTTAAAACTGTTAAGCAGTTGAAAATATACATTAAAAAATTTAGATTTAGTATACAAAATATTAGAGAAAATTCTCGCTAAAAGATAAAAGTGAAAAGTATGCAACCTACGAGGAGCACAAAAACGATTCATTCCTTTTTCTTCTGTTCCAATTTCTTCATCATCCTTTCTCTTCTGCGCCCTTCCTAACAATGATTATGATATAAGAGTGTTCACGATGACTTACCAAAACCGCAATTTCTGCATAAACATTTTATTATAAAACAAAAATTCTTTCTTACCAAACGGTTTTCAACTGTCAATATAAAATTACGAGTAAGAAGAAAGAAAATAAAATAAAAAACTTTGTAATTAACAACATTTTAGAACAACATTCCTACAGTAGGGGTCATGAAAATCTGTGAAAATCTGAAAAGTACCCGCTGCTCTCGTTCTATTGCTTTTTGAAGTTTCCAGGCCAGAACGGCACAAAGTATCATCAAAGGTGATATGTAAGTTATAAATGTAAGCACGAAAGAGCCCGGATCAGCTGCCGCGAATCGTATCACCCTTCCAACTTTGGCCTCAACAAACCGCATCACCACCTCCAACATCTGAAGGTGTCCCCTTTCAAACATAATAGCCTACTTTTTTTAAAAAAAACAAAATTTAACACCTAGAGGCAAACGCACTTGCATACACAAAAGAAACATTATCCTCTACCTCTGTAGGGGGGAATCGTGGAAATTCTTACAGAAAAAGTAAGAACTTTTTCGGCTGTTTTTATGGCTTTCTAATTTTTTCTTTTTTTTTTTTCGACTGAAATTCCGTTAGAAAATCTAACCTTACTTTTCTTTTTTTGGGCCTACTTTGTCCTAAATAACTTTATCTCGCTGCTGGAATTTACAAACTTAAACCTCCAGCCTAGTCAGTAAAACACTTCGACAAATTTGGACCGACATCAGTATTTCAACTCTCCCCCCCCTTTTTTTTTTTCTGCTTTTAAGGCTTTTGGATATCCTACTTAACGATTTCAAAATTCAACGCACTGTCAACAGTGCTACAGGCGACGGCGAGCAAAACAACTTGTAGCTTACCATTGAGCTAGCAATTACTCAAGCCTAAAAAAAACTAAAAGTATAACTCACACTGCTTCAGCGACTGACCAACGAATTGCAGATCTGATCAAGAGCAGGTGTTAAGGGAAATGAATGGGAACTGATGATTATCTATAAATTGAACTTTTACGACCTAGCTCTTCAAAAAATAACTTTTGCCGCTACAGTGATAATTAACGAACAATCAACAATTACTGTTTTTGCAGTACGACAAAGAAAATACCAAATATTCCTGCAAAATATTTCGCAGTTTACTGCACGCCAAAAAACTTAATCACCCCAAGATTACCCACAAATAACCAAAAAACCATAAATACTGATACGAAAATGATATTTTAACCAGTCCGTAGGAACAGGGAACACTAATATTGTTAATTTTATTGAAGTCAGCAATAAGCTTACCAAGGAACCTCTTGCACCAAATAATGAAAAGTTACACTCTATTAGACCCTTCTGTTTTCCATTAAAAAGTGATAAGACAAACTCAAATGAAAATCACAAAACATAACAACGGAAAAGAAACAATAGAATTTGAAATTGATTAGTAACTTCAAAATCAAAAATCAGGATTTGACCGGACGAGCAAGTCCTGTAAATAATCGATTGACCTCTTAAAAACCGGGTCTAAACGTTTAAAGCTTCGCCCAAGCATCTACACTGTATGACAACCAAAACGAGATTATTAGACCTAGAGGAAGGTTAGAAACAAGATATCAGTAATATGTGTCATCTGCATATGTACTGTACTTCTACCTTGAGGTCAGACAGTTTAGCAAAAACTACTGATGGCAACTACAACATACTAGTGAGGATGTCGAAGAGAAATGAAGAGAGAATTATCTGATAGAAGTTGTAAAGCACTTCAAAAAAGCTGAACTACGGCTTCCGACAAGATTAAGACGGCCAGGGGAAAGTTAGCGTAATTTATAAAAGCTTTAACAGACACAAAAATAAGAAATTATTTGATTTTTTGCCAGTACCCTTTATAACAAATAGGAATTACAAAACTATTGGTTTTCTGAATAACCCCTGGCTTTTAAAGGAAAGTAAGAGCAGCATAAAAAATAACAATTCGCCAAATCCTAAATGAAAATAAGGTTTTAGCGAAACATTATTATTAATATTAATACTTACATTGATAATAATAATAGTAATAATTATTATAACAATAATGATAATAATAGTAATAGTAATAACAACAATGATAACAAGAAAAAGATAATAGCGGTAGTAATAATAAAAGTAATAATAATAATAAAACTAGAGATGAAACTAAAAATGGAAATGAAGTACAGTGATAAAAAAGACCCGCACATTTTTACACATAAGTGAATAAAATATTAGCTAGCATCAACAACGGTTATTTGAAATACTGAAGACGCTAGACAACGAAAAAGGTTGGTCCAATACATAATCCGCCGATCAGTCATTATAAATAACCTCCAAAAAGAAACCCCAGCAAGGACAGCAAGTAAAGACCGACGTCCCATGAAAAAATTCTTGCATGTCCGCAACATTCGATAGGTGCACAATGCGTCAAAAACCATATAAAAAACTTCTATCTGTGACGATTTCAAATCAGGTAAGCACCAGTCTTTATACGGTTTCAACTTCCAGATCTTTTTGTACACATACCTGATAAAGATTTACGTGCACAAAGAATTAGATAAAAAAACTTAAACTTTCAAGTTTAAAAAAGCAGAGTTATTCTGCGTTTCAGCTCAGTCTTACCAGTGTTTAAAATAGTAAATAACTAAAGCCGACTTGCACGTTGCACACTGATCCCGCTGTAACAGTGGAGCACTGTCTAGCCAACGATCAAAGCAACTATCATGCACCCATTTGATCGATCCTGAGCATTTGCATGGAGATAACCAGTAACCGTTTGGTTCTTCCGAGTAGCAGAACCTACATATCTGCAAAACAACGAGTGTGTCAAAGATGTGTGAAAACCTAAACAAAAATGTGCTTCTTTACAAAATGTTTCGTTGTCAATACACCTAAAACGAAAGCATTAATAGCTCATGAAATCTATGAGACCCAATGTGAATGTTTTCAGGTAATCCAACTGCACATATTAAAGATAGAAAACAACTCAAAAAAAAAAAAATTTGCCTTGTTTTGATTTCTCTGAGAATTGTGACCTTCGCCATTAAAAAATGTAGTAGCAGCACAATCTGCAGGACCCTCCAGCAGCAAAGTTTGGGGACGATTTTTTGCTGATTCTGTGGTATCGCTGGCAGCAGCTGTAAGATGTTCTCGGTAACACTCTTCCTCTTATGACAAAACACCTCAACCGATTTGATTACTCAGATGCTTGAAAAATACGAGAAAGTTAGCAAAAAATTTTGATGCAACGAAATAAAAGCAATGTATTTTATACTTCATGCCACATCTACCTGAACCAACGACTGATAAAAATGATTAAAACAAGTAAGAAAAAATCAATCATGCTTTAAAAAAGAAAAAAAAATTGCAGTTTTTTTGTTCAACACAGAACTAGAAACAACTTTTCATCACCGTTATCAAAATTGGATTGCTACTAATACTTAGTTAAAAAATAAAAAAAAAGCCAAAACCTGATAGACAGCCTACCTTGCATCTTCGACACCATACTGATATTTGTTGACGACAACATAACAATTAGTACCGGAAAAATCATTCATATGTTAATTAATTTTCACGAATATAACGTAAGATAACACCAATGCATATAAATAATAAAAATCAGGTAAGAAAAAACACCAATCCCCTTCATTATTTTCAGTGAATCAAAGTGCAGTGAACAAGGAGGATGTGTAAAAAATAGCTCAAGAAAATTAGCAGTGTCGATAAGCACTTCTACATACTATGCAGAAGAAGCAACAGAAGGAAAATTTTTGAAACCTAGGTCATTATTATAATCTATAAAGGTATAAATAATTGCAAAAATAAGAGCACAGATACGAATATTAATTAAAAAATATATTACACATATGACTTAATAAGCAAATAAACATATAATATACGAACAAATATAGATACAGATAAGTACACATAAATATGAATATGAACACATAAATAAATAAATAAACAAACATATATATATATATATATATATATAT